CTTGCTGGTTATAAAAAGTCAACCATGTTTAGTAAGATCAAGTTTGAACAATTATTATTATTATGTTAGTATTAATCAAAGCCCATAATGAATAATATAGGATACAATCACATCAAACCAAAAATTAGAAACTTCTCAAAAATGTAAAAAAAAAAGCACTTGTGAAACTACAACTGTCCCTTCCTGTAGACTGAAAGCAATCTACTGATATCTCTCGTGACTGGGGTGATCTCATATTTTTTATGCAGACTTGGCTGCAGCTTTTGTTGGTTCCAACTTTTATTAACTTACAAGGTCACTGTTATTTGGACACCAATAAGTTATGTAATATTCTGAGACAACTTCTATTTCATCTAAGGTAAAGAATTCAAACTGATCATAATGAGGTATGGCAACCATATTTGATTAATCTACAAAGAAGAATATGTCATTGCAATAGTAATGGGACAAGCCACACAATTAATTAGTAGCAAATTGGGCAGATTGCTTTGAAAGTTTTCCAAAAGAAAAAGTACTTCCAGTGCTTTGCTCCAAAAACAGAGTAGAGCAAACTGTCTTAATCCCTCTGAGTGGATAAAAATTTGATTTTCATTCTTAAATTGTCTACGTTAGAATCAACTTCATAATAGGTGGAATTGTAAGATAGAGAAATCAAGGTTTATTTGAAAATCTGAGTTTAGTAACCTGTGATGGTCATCGTGATTTTTGAGGAAGCTCTTTTGGCTTCCTCTGCTTGTGAATGATGGAAATATTATAACCTTGCAGTTTATGATATGCTTTCATTCGTAACTCATGTGATCCATACAACAATCTTCAAAGAAGTCTGCCCATTTCTTAGTGAGGAAATTGAAGTCCTGGGATGCCAAGTAATATTTTACTACTAAGGATAGTGTGGGTAGTCCCATCAAAAAGTGGGCAGTAGAGCTAAAAAGACACTTCTCCAAAGAGGAAATGCAGATGGCCAACAGGCATATGAAAAAATGTTCAACATCACTCGTAATAAGGGAGATGCAAATTAAAACCACAATGAGATACCACCTCACCCCAGTGAGAATGGCACATCTTCAAACAACTAGCAACAAATTGTTGGCGAGGATGTGGAGAAAAAGGAACTCTCCTGCACTGCTGGTGCGAATGCAAACTAGTACAACCACTATGGAAAACTGTCTGGAGGTTCCTCAAACTGCTAAACATGGAGCTTCCCTACGACCCAGCAATCCCACTCCTAGGTATCTACCCAAAAGACACAAAAACACTGATTGAAAAAGATACTTGTACCCCCATGTTTATTGCTGCTGTATTTACAATTGGAAAAACATGGAAGCAGCCCAAATGCCCAAAAGTAGATGACTGGATTAGAAAGATGTGGTACATATATACAATGGAATATTACTCAGCAACCAAAAAAGAGAAACACATGTCTTTTGCAGCAACTTGGATGGAGCTGGAAAAGATCATGCTTAGTGAGATAAGCCAGAAAGAGAAAGAAAAATACCCGATGGTTTCACTCATAGCAGGAGTATAATGGACCAGGCGAGAAAATAACAAAAATAATGAACAACCATATACCAGAGACATTCTGTGGGGGTGGAGTGGGGAATGGGATCAAAAATGGGGGGGGGTGGGGGAAGGGAGGGAAATGCATGGGACTATGGTGGTGGCACAGGGGTGATTTGGTGATGGGAAACCCCCAGGGATTACAATCGAGATGGAAAAAAAAATGTGCAAAATGATGTAAAAATAAACTTTGTAATAAAAAAAACAAAAACAATAAAATGACAAAAGAAAAAAAAAGGATAGTGTGGGTAGTAGTGGGTAGTAACAGATCAATGTCATTTTTTAAAGATATTTATTTACTTATGCATACAAATCCTGGGGAGTAGGCCCAGGTGTGGGGGTTGGGGTGAGAGGATTCACCAGAGACAGAGTGGAGAACAGAGCAGGTGAATTTATGGATAAGTACACTGTTGAGGGGAGCAGCAGGAGAGATATTCTGAGGCATGTGGGTCAGCTCCATGGCGGGGGATGGTGCTACGGTGGTGGCTGGTGATAGCTTCATAGTGCTGAGACTTAACCCCTTGTGCCACCAGGGAGGCCCACAAATCAATCTCTTAATCTGCATCTCTGACAACACAGCAGTGGGGTGGACCAATCTGCTCCCATGTGTTAATTTGAATAGATACCTTAGAGAACACAGCCATGGCAGAAATGTTAACCTATGCCTAAGCTCATTTATATCTTTCAGTATCTGACCTTTTTGGGAAAGAAAATATAAGCCAGTGGATTTCAAGTTAAAAGTTATCTTGACATTCTAAATCATCAGGAATATGCTTCCTCTCCATTAGATTGGGGAATGTGGGTAAAGCATATGGGAATTATCTGTTTATTATAACCCTGTAGTGAACTCCCAAGTGTGGAAGAAAACTGACCCTCCTTGTTTTATATAAAAGCACAAATTCCTAGTTGGTTTGAAAGATTAAGTAACCTGGTGCCAAATTGAATTTCCTGTTGTATTTCTTACTGCAGCGTCTTTCAACTCGTTCTTTAATAATGCTCTCAAATACAACACAAATATAGAGAACATAACAAAACAACCACTACAGCAAAATGCCTTGCAAAACTGATTATATCACGTGGCTTATTTACCTCTATTCTATACAGTAATGTGTCAAAATCCTGAATCTCACTGAGAAGGAAAGATGGATCGATTTTGCTTTCTGGTCTCTAGAAGTAGAGTTGAGATGTCAGTAGAGAAGTGCCCCTCTCCATCACCAGAGGAAGCTAATCAAGGAAAAATGTCTGTGGGGAGGCTCTACATTCATCTCCAGCTGGATCTCAGGACTGTTATGAGGTGTAACCAATCATCTCGTTGTGACTCATCTCGTTCTGTAATAACACACTCCACAGTGACATCAGTGGTTATGCTAGATAGATGTCACATGTAAAGGAAAAAGTATTGTTCAACTGAAATCTCTGCCAGCCTGTGCATGACACAGTGACAGTTTGCCGTGGATGCAGCTGCTGTTTCTGCACAATAACACAGGCGACATGTCCTGCCACCACTGTGTTTCTAAGACTGTCTCAAGCCATCATCATAGGGCAATTTTAAATGCACAGGTTGTCCTAATAGCTTAGTCCTCAAAAAATGATCTCAGTCAAGATTCACAGTGAATATTCAGGTCCAATTTGGTGCTAAGTCCAGATGCTCAGGTAGATAATGCTGAGGCATGTCTGTTTGTGAAATTATTTCACATCCTTCGCAAACTTTATTTCCAAGTCAGATGCATCCAACATTTTTTCTTCAGAGGTAGAAGGGCATTGTGATCTCTTGCTACATGTTAAGTCCATGATGTGCATGTATTCAGACCTCCAGGTCAGTGGTCCACCACTGACCATCACCAGCAGGTGATGACAAGTAGATGGACGCAGCCTCAGCCTGGCCCTGACATAGCAACAACTCTAATTGTCAGGACAGATGCCTCTTACCTTCAGAAGTTGGGGTACAACTTGTTAAGGGCCTTTTCAACTTAAAAATTGTATGACTTTTTTTTTTTTTTTTAAGAATTATGTTGTGCATACAGAACTGGGGTACAGGCCAGAGGCTCAGGGGCGGTGAGAGGCTTCACCAGAGACAGAGTGGGGAACAGAACGAAGTACACTGCTAAGGGGAGCAGAGGGTGGGTCAGGAGAGGTCTGCCACACCATGTGGTCACCCCCGGGGCAGGCGGGAATCGAACTCATGCTCATGTGGAAGCAAGCGGCTTTAGATTCTCAGTGCTGTGCCTTAACCCGCTGTGCCACCAGGAGGGCCCAAAAATTGTATGACTTTTTAAAAAGTTATCTATTCAAAAACTTTTTGCACTTTTCGTTTATATTAAATTGGAAATTCATTAAAAAGCAAGAACCAAGGATATAAAGTATTTTTTATTTTATTTTTTTTTAAGATTTGTTTATTTATGCATGCAGAACTGCGGTACAGGCCAGAGGTGCAGGGGCGGTGAGAGGCTTACCAGAGACAGAGCAGGGAGCAGAACAACGAAGTCCACTGCCGAGAGGAGCAGCAGGCAGGCCAGGAGAGGTCTGCCACGCCATGTGGTTCACCTCCAGGGCAGGCAGGGATTGAACTCATGCTGAAGTGGCTTTAGCTTCTTAGTGCTGTGCTTTAACCTGCTGCGCCACCAGGGAGGGCCATAAAGTATTTTTTATTTTAAAAATAAGTTTCATTTTTAAAAGTATCTTAAATTTTTTCTTACAAGTAAAATAATGGGAGCCCTCCCTGGTGGCCCAGTGGGTTAAAGCACAGCACTAAGAAGCTAAAGTCATTTCAGCATGAGTTTGATCCCTGGACCCGGAAGTGACCCACATGGCACGGCAGACCTCTCCTGACCTGCCCGCTGCTCCCCTCAGCAGTGCACTTGTCAGTCAGCCTGTTCTACTCCCAATCTATCTCTGGTGAATCCTCACATCACCTCTGCAACTCTGGCCTGTACTCCAGTTCTGTATGCATAAATATAAACCTACAATTTTTTTTAAAAAAGTAAAATAATAGTAAATATCTATAAATACATTGTAGGGAAATACAAGTTAACCATATATACCATATACCTGGTATACAGTATGGACCGACAGAGAACCAACAGTTACTCAGAATTCCCTGATAGCAAAAGCAAAAAGGGCAAAAATTGATTTTATTTCCATTTTCTAATTTTATTTCAAAGGCATTGCCTAAATTTTTGTAAAGAAATAAATATTTTGTAGGAATATACTGATAAAAACCTACTTTGATATAAACCTTGATGTTAATTGAAACATTTTCAGAAGGACACTGATCTACTCTAGAGACACATAATTGGTAAGATAAAGTTATCCTGACTAAGCAACGTGTAGTCTGGTGATAATAATATAGAGAATATTTATATGTTGGTCCATTCTGTGCTTTCTTCTCTCAGTAGTAAAGATTTGCTATTGATCTAACCAGTGTCTCTAATTGTATTTTTCAGAATGACAAATCCCCAGGCCGGTCTGCAAGTCGATCAAGTAATATTTCAAAAGTAGGTGAACTATATTTATTCATGTTTAAGTTGTTTATTGATTTCCATATAATTAAATATTTTATAATATTTAACCTATAATTGTTATCTATGAACAATACCTAAATATTATTTATTAACGGTAACCATTTTAAGCTTTTAATATGATAAAAGAACAGGATTTTACACACAAAATCAACTAAGCAAGTTTTTTTCCTTTCCAATGCTGTATGTCATAATTTTCCTTCTTTAGAGTGTCATACAATATGTTTTTTCCTCTTTCAAGGGCAAATAATTGTCACATACTCAGGAGTTGAAACTATCACTATTCATGCCTCAATTTCCATCAACTCTATTTTTCAAGAGCTCCAACTTGATGTTACTAAAATGGCTATTTCTGTCACCTGTATAGGTTTTAGTAATCAATTTAAGACTTCAGATTTATCATATTTATATTATAGATTCAATAGATTTTTTTCCAGGAATGTTCCTACAAAAGAATCCATGTGAGCACCACTTGGGTGTTGAAATGGTTATGGTATAGAAGAGATATGCTAGATTTTTATTTTGCCTAAAAGCAAAAATTAATAGCTACTCTCTAAAATGAGGCACTGTTTAACATTTAGGTTTGTTGTCTGAGGAGTGAAAAGTCATTTAGAATCATTTGTCAAAGTGTAAATTATGTCTTCCAAAAATATAACTCAGACAAAGATGGATTTCCCACTAATAGAACTTCCATCATAGGACCTCCCACTTGCCAGCAGTCTTCCACAGTCCTGAACTTAATTTCATGTTATTTTATATTATTTTCCTGAAATAGTGGCAAATTTTGGGTGCTACAGAACCTAGATTCACTTCCAATTGAGGGAATTTTTTGTTATGTTTTCAGAAACAACAAATTTAATTACTTACTGAAAATGAGCAATAGTCTGGGTAGCAGTACTTTGTTAAATACTGGTTTCCTGAGGTCAGTTCTTAGAAGACAATGCTAAGATGTCCAGAAACTCTTATAAATACACTGAGCTGGTTTCAGGACCGGTGTTCTAAGCATAAGGAACCCTTGTATTTTAATAATAAACATGGCTGCCCATTGCTTTTTAGGGAGATATATCCTTTTTTTTTTTTTTAAGACATTTATTTATGCTTACAGAACTGGGGTACAGGCCAGAAGTGCAGTATTCACCAGAGACAGAGTGGGAGCAGAACAGGCAGACTGCTGAGGGGAGCAGCAGGCAGGTCAGGAGAGGTCTGCCACGCCATGTGGCTCAGCTCCCTGGCCAGGGATCGAACTCATGCTGCAGTGGCTTTGGAGAGCTTCATAATGTGGTGCTTTAACCTGTTGCACCACCAGGGAGATATATTCTCATGTTGGCAATGTAATCATCTATACCAATATACTTTAAAAAGATAATCCAGAGCAGAAGCCATCAATGCATCTGTTTGTAAGGCAGACAAAGATGCAAGAGACCTCTAGAGGTTGTAACTCAGTACTGGTCCTAAACATTCCTAATTTCATTCAAGCCTGCATCCCCTCAGAGATCCTGGAGAGGCAATATGGCCACGTGGTTAAAAGTTCTAACTCTGGGAGAGAGGATCTGAGTGTAGTTTCTGCTCTGTCACTTCTTACTTATGTGACTCAGACATTCACATAACCTCCCTGAGGCACAATTGCCCCCTTTGTGACCTGACTGCAATGATCCAGTCACCTGAAGGTTTTGTGAAATGTTTGTAAATGAACGTCATACCTTACCATTGTCTGTTATCTTAGTCTCATCATGAAGTCTTGCCTGCAGCTATGGAACATCAGCATCTTTCTGAATTTGAATGTTAATATTGATCTAGAAAGAAACTTAAAAATAGACTAGAACACTCTGTTATCACACCAAATACTGTTTCATGAACCAGGGTTGAAGTTGCATCTGCATTTCCAAGCTGCTGCTAGAGCTTGATGGAACATATCTTGTTTATAACTTTTAGCCTTCTAAGTTATTCTTTTAAAAGTAAGAAAGTCAGGAATAGTTTCCTCTCTCTGAGTCTTTCCTCTAAGCTCTGATGTGTATTAGCTGCGTGTCTGTGTGGGAGACAATGAAAAAATTCATTCTATTTGGAAAGAAATAAAAAGCTCTCTTTTTAAATAGCTCCTTTAATTTTACAGTGGCAAAAGCTCAACTATCAAACACCCATAGGGATAGAAAGATTTCAGTGTGCATAAATTCATTTTATTTAAAACAATATAGCTTTCCTTTTATTTCTGTGCAGAATGATGGTCCCAAAGGCTAAATATATGGTTGAGTCTTCACAACTTTTCATGAATTACTAAGAGATAAACTCTTTATTCTGAACATGTCAAGTATGAAATGGCAAAATGTAGCAATATTTAGGTCCTTTAACTTTTAAAGTGGTGGAGAAGTATACATTAAAGTAGCACAAGGATGTTCTTCCTCTAATTTTATCAAAATAATTTTTATGTCAAAAAAGAAGGGTTTTTTTTCAAGGGTATGGTAATCAGCATAGTAGGATATTTAAGAACATGGATTCTAGAGTGACTAAGATGAGTATTGATAGAGAAGTATTTGCTGCTGGTTTTCTGGTTCTGTTCCTTGTGGAACTTTTTCTCTTCAATTTAAATATAAGTGCCCCCCTCTTAACACATCTTGTAGAGGAGATCTAGTGTTTGCAAATTCTCAGCTTCTGTTTATTTGCAAGGTTCTTTTTTTCTCTTTCATATCTGAAAGAGGGCATTATAGGATATAGTGTTCTTAAAACTTCCTAGTTTTAATCTTTGAATATGTTGAATATGTCATACCATTCTCTGCCTGCTTGTAGGGTTCCTTAGGGAAGTTTAAAGTAAGTCAGATTACAGTACCGATAGAAGCTACCTGCTTTTTTCCCTGTTGCCTTCAATATTTGTGGTTTTTAATTCTTGGTAGTTTCACTGCTATGTGTCTCTGTGCAGCTCTCATTGTGTTTAGGTAACCAGGTGTTTTCTCTCTCTCTCTCTCTCTTTTTTTTTTCATGAATTTGCATATTTAGTTCCTTCTCCAAATTTTGGAATTTTTCCAATCTTCTATTCTTGTGATGTTGTATTTTTCAGTTCTCAAGGTTCCATATGCTAGATTTTGCTGTGTGCACATTTTGCTCCCTTAGAGTTCCATTTTTTGATAGTAGTAGCTTAGAAAGTTACTTTTCCAGTAGATGGCACCGTTGTCTTTTTTTTTCTCTCTTTCCTTTTTTTTTTTTTTACTTTTTTGGCTTTTACTGACTTCTATCTATTCCAATTGCTAATTTTGCTGTTGCTGAGTCAGATGGTAGCAGAGGGACCTGAAGATGCCCAGCCCCTTACTGAGACTGGAAGTAGGATGGAAGGTTGATTCACATTTATTGCCCAATAATACCCTTTCTCTCTGGGGCTCCAGACCTGACACTCATCTCCTTGATTGTGCCATGAACCCATGGTGTAGTAACCAAAAAGAAGTATAGACAGAGGCTGTGGGAGTACAGAGATGATCACTTCCTTTCAGTTAGGACAGGATAGTTTCAGATTAAATTTCTTGGAAAAGTGGCATGTAGACTGGGAATTGAAGAATGGGTCTGTCTTAATCAGCAGCCAGGAAAGTAGGTGGAAAAAGCTATAAGTACAAAGCACTGGATTCCAGAAATCATGGATTATAAGGAGAAAGTCACATAAAATTATATTTAAGGTCCATTGATACAAGGTTTTGAATAGTCTGAGCAGATGAATGTCATCTGACTTGGATTTTGAACACACTGAAATTTTTTAAACATAATTGGATAATTTGTATATTAAATTGAACATTAGTATTTTTCCTACTCCATCTTAAACCTTATAATGTGACCTTAATGTAATAAACAGGAAATATCCAAGCATAGAATAAAGAACAGATCCTGAACTGTTAATGATACAATCCAGGTGTAAGCATCCTGGTTGTCAGCATGCAAGGGGAGGTAGTCGGGAAGATGGAGAAGCAAGAGTACAGAAAGGGGGAACAGTTTTGGTCAAGTGAATGGAGCAAGTGTATATATGAAAGTATCAAAATATACTCCCCCAGTTGTACAGTAAATAAACAGCTGACAAACGATTAAAATTTGAGGAAAAATGATAACACACATAGTTGTTGAAAATTATCCATGAGAAGTAATTACATTTGAATTAAAGATGTTTTGATTTTGGTAAAAAAAATCTTAGTTTTTACTTCTGGTCTTTGTAATATATATTATTCAATTGTAGTTTGTTTTGTGGTTATTTCAGCTTTTTTGTTACATTATATTTCTAATATTTTTAATAAATATATTGGGTGTGTGAATTACTTTTTCTTTTCTTATTCTAATAAAATTATTATACCTTGGGGATATTAAATTGATCCCAAAACTACAAAGAAACAATATAGGTTTAGAACAATATAGGTGATATTACCAAAATATCTCCAGTGTAAATCCAGCAGCATTCATGTATCCATTATTAACATTTTTCTGAAAATATGCTTTTGATATTAGTGCTTTCTGCTGCTATTTAATACATACATGGCTCACAAATAGGTACCTCAAGATGTGAAATTAGTCAAATTTGTTCTTCTTTTAAATTTTTTTTCTAATGTGAAGGATCGTTCCATTCAGCTAGAAATAGTATATTATGTATTTCACAAGAAAAACTTAAAAAAAAAACTGTCAAATGGAAAGAAAACCTGTACTTTTAATTCAAATCAACACCTAAAATTTTCTTTTAAATAAAACACTTCGTGTTTTTTGGACTGTGTAGGAAGCATCTCACAAGTCTAATCACTTATGAAAAGAATTTAGAAAATCACTACATTAACAAAATGGCTTTTCAGTTAATTCCCATCCTTTCATATTATAATCTCTGGGCTTCATTTACTGGACAAGGAGTGATCTAAATTCTTCAGTTTGTCTTTAACTACAAATATTATGTATAATCTCAAGGTTAAGATGTATAAAAATGTTAAGGTGTATAAAAAGCCTTTTTCTGAAAGCCTTCTCTGTCT